GTAGGCCCTGACTCATAGCGACCCCTTCTTGGGTTTCCGAGGCAGTATCACTATGGAAGTAGATTGCCCCATCTTCCTTCAGAGGAGTGCTAGTGGGACTGCAAAATGACAACCACTTTAGAAATCGGTAAGGCGATTCCTCAAAAAGCTGGAATTAGAATGCCATTTGATCCAGCAATCCCATGACCAGGTATATATCCTAAAGAAGTGAGAGCCAGGACAAGAACAGATATATGGACACCCATGTTCATCACAGCACTATTCACAATAGCAAAGAGATGGAAACAACCTAAGTGCCCATCAACTGACAAATGGATAAACAAACTGTGGTACAAACACACAATGGAATACTATGCAACCCTAAAGAATAATGTAGAATCTGCAAAACACTGCATAACATGGATGAACTTGGAGGACATTATGCTGAGTGAAATAAGTCAATCACAGAAGGGTAAATATTGTATTAGTCCACTATTGTAAAAAGTCAAGGAAAAGTATATATAAGGAAGGAAACTTTCTTTGTTGGTTACCAGGGATGGGGGGGGGAGGGGAAAGGAGTTTCAATTCCTAGATAGGTTGAAAATAGATAGAAACCAAAGATTATTATAGGTAGGAAGGTGTGGCGGTTAAGTTTGTGTGTCAATTTGGCTGGGCCTGGTTGACTGGCTGGGCAGCTGGTGTAGTATTTCCCATGATGAGAATGTTAATCAACTCCATGGTAGAATCTACTATAAGCAGCTGAGTAGCTTCCCTAGGCATGTGGTCTGCTTTCCGTATATAAGAAACAGCTTTAGGAATGGTCTCTAGCTGATGGCATATTTGAATCCTGCATGTAGCCGTGTCATTGTTCAGCAGTCTGCCATGCTCTCCTGATCTTGGGACTTCTAATTGACTTGAATTAATGGCCTGCCATGTGGTTTGGTAACATCAGGACTGTGCCTTTTCACTTGTCGATCTTGGGTTTGTCAGCCTCAGCAGCCAGCAGCTGAGTGAAGAAAAGCCTTCAGCTTCAGTGGGCTGGGAGCAGGAGGCAGACCTAAAGCCCAAGGTTGAGGGGCTTTCACCCAGCCCCTAGAGCCTGGCACTTTGAACTTGGACTTAACGCCTCCAAACAGTAAGAGAATAAACTCCTGTTTGTTCAACCCATCTCATTTGTAGTATATTCCTGTCAGAGCAGCACTAGGTAACTGAAACAGAGGGGTACCAAGAGTAGGAGGGAGGGAGAAAGGGGAAGCTTTTGTTTCTGGGGCACAGAATTTATGCTAATGGTAGTGGAATATTGAAAAGTTTAGCAATAATGGTGGCACATCATGAAAAATAGCAATATTCCTGAGCTGTAAATGGGGAAGTTATGTTGGTAAATGTCTTGCTGTATATGTCTTCACAACAATAAAAGTAAAAAAAAAAAAAAAAAAGAAGTTGACACTGACTTGTAATGACTAGCAAAGGTAAAGCACTCAGTGCTGAGGATTCATTGGGAAAAATAAAAATGCATGAAAGGTATATGAGAGATATGATGGAACATCTGCAAAGAAATTAGGAATATATACATAGAAACTTATGCAATTTATTTTTTACAAAGCAATCATTTGCATTAATCAAAGAAAAAGAAATTATTTTGTTAAGTTAGCAAAATGTAAGCCCATTATAGCCCATAAATTTCCTTAAATTTTAATCTTCCAAGAAAAATCACAGTGTAGGCAGTTAGTTCATTTCTTGTATATAACATTTATCAACTTCTGTTCCCTCCCTACTCCATGCATGCTGACATACAGTACCCATGTACATTTCTCAAGTGAAATAAATGACTGTTTATCCATTTATACCATTCCTCTGAATGTTCTAACTCAAGGCAATTTTTTTTACATCTGTCTGAGTTTAAATTAAATATTATAGAGTCCAAACATTCATCACTCCATAAAGGCACTTCTACAACAGCTTACTAAGCAGTCTCTCATCTTTCCCCGTGGCATTTCATCCTACACAGAGTTAACAAGTGTATCAATCTAACATACTATTTTCACTATCTCTTTCTTGCACAAGAACCTGTAATGATTTCTCACTGCCTGTGGGGTCAAGTTCAAACTCCCATCTAAGAAGTGCACTAGTCAGCCTGATTCCATCTTCCCATGCTAAAATTCTCCAAAGCATACCCTGTTCTTCTGACAGGAAATCTTCAGGCCCCCTTTTTACAACATGCTGTTTTTTTACAGCTATCCCGTATAAATGCTTTGTTCCCAGCCTTGAACACCCCAATCTAAAAATTATATTCATCCTAAAACTGACTCAATGGCAACTAACAAATAACAACAAACCAAAACCAAACCCATTGCCATCAAGTCGATTTCAACTTGTAGCAACCCTCATTGGGTTTCTAAGGCTTTAATTCTTCATGATAGTAGATTGTCTCATCTTCCTCCCATGGAGCAACTGGTGAGTTTAAATCACCAACCTTCTGGTTAATAGCCAAATGCCTAACCCACTGCACTACCAGAGCTTTTTCACACTAACAACAAAGTCATGCTCAAATCCCATGACTTTCTGGCAGCTGCCACACTAGCCTACATCGACCCATGTGTTCTTTCTTCAACTCTGACAGCAATCAATCTCACTTCTTGTCATTTCAGAGCTGTGTTGGCTCACTATTGCTGAGAGTCACTGTGTTTTTCATGCAATGCAGCCATATAAAAAGAAAAATAAGAGCTATTTTTTGAACAGTTATTTTTTAAATTCAGATTTCAAAACTTTAAATTTGAATTCCTTAAAAAGCAAACTTAAAAAAGGTCACCATCTTTGCTGGTCTGATAGAGCCTGGTGGAACCCCTGAGACTACGGCCCTTAGCTGCCCTTCAGGTCTGGAATTGAACCCACTCCTATGGCTTCCAGCCAAACAAAAGACAGGCATATGAGCTGAATTATTTACATTAGGTAGATATACTCCTTGGAGAGATCAATCATGGGAGAATAGAAGTGCTGTGTATGCACAGGAAGACAGCTTGCGGGGCAGAAGCACTTGGGAGGGAAGGACACAGGCAAGCAGTGGCTATGGGGAGGAAGCAGGAGGAGAGCTGTTGCATTGTGGGAGATTGCAGTCAATGTCATGAGATAAAGTATATATGAACTGCTGTACAGAAGATGAATTTGTGCCACAAACTTTCACCCAAATCACAATAAATATTTAAAAAAAAAAAAAAACAGGTACCATCTACTTACAGAGAAACAACTGACCTTTTCTTCACTGCACTCTACCCGCTCCTTGCCAAAGGATGGTGCAGCTGATGAGCCTGAGAGCCTGCCCTTCCACAAGTGCACTCAGGGAGAGGTATAATTCCCCACACATTAAAGAAAGTGTGTTAGATTGCAAGAGGATGAAGGGTGTTTCTACAGAACAGGCTAGAATCCACTCAAGAGTATTTATTTTTTAAAAGTAAATCATTTTTAAGCTTTGGTACTTACAGTATTTTTCTAACAAATTACTTGCTACTCATAACTAAGTGGTTTTGTGTTACTATACCACTGTTGAGTAAGAGTGATTTCAAAACCAATCCAACCAGCATATGCATTATTATACTAGCAAGTTATATTTCACAGAAACAAATCTATTATTTGTACTTACTTCAAGGATAGGTTTACTTTGGGTTTAAAATAGGGTGCGTTCTGGTCTGCCAAAAAGACAATTAAATCATTTCCTGAAAGAAGACAATATATGACATTAGAGAAATCTTTCCTGTTAAGAAATCCAATCAGTGGTTACAACAAACTTTTCAGGCACTGTTCTCAACAAGGAAACTTTTATTCTATTCCTGTTTATTTGTCTTCTCTAGAAGAGTTCTACTAGTCTAACAGAAAGGGTGTGTTGCAACAACAGAGTGTGCTGTTGCAAACAGTGCAATGTTCAAAGCAACAGAGAAATAGGCAGTGTAAGCACCAAACAACTTGGTGGATCCCGAGAAACAGAAGTCAATGGCTTCTGCTAGGCATCAGATCAGATGACTGAAAAGAACTAAACAGGAACATGCTTTCTAGCTTTATCTTCTCCAAATCTAACAACAGCCCTGTTAAGGTTGGTTAGTATATCACACAGATGTATCATACCAAGGACATAAGGATTCCCACTGTAGGTATCTCCCTAGTGACAAGGGCATGATTAAACATGCAAACAGAAAAAGTTGGACCCTCCAAGGACGCGCAGCATCTATGGAACCATTCCTCATGGTGATGCATTCTTGGACCTCACTGAGCACTCACTGGGACAGACTTTTGAAATTGTTTAACCAAAACACAGGCTATCATTAAAGTTAAGAGTCTCTGTGCTTAGTTTGGATGGAGACTGGCATTGCCTCATACAAAGAAAGAGAAAATACCCAGTGTCCACAAGAGACTCTGAAGTCCTAATAAGGGACCCCAGAAGCCTGGGCCAGGATCCTGCCAATCAGGATATCTGTCAGTTCTTCACTTACTTCCTTTGTGGCCTTAACCTTGAGCAGCACCTGATTTTATGGGTACTCAACAACATTAAGATTTACAAAAAGTTTGTTTAGTGATAGTTAAAGCAAACAACTTCCAAGAACACTAAGTTGGCAAAGAAAGCAAGAATTTGGGAGACTACAGGGTGATAAAGGTGAGATGGAGTCAGCTGTACACAAAAGACAAGACAGCTCAGGAGGGAGGAGTCTGCTCTTTGGGAATGTTTCCCAAAGAGACACTGGTATCAATGGTCTCTGCAAAAGGCCTGGATGAGCTGTGGAATAGTTAGGGCCTTGGAAGGACACAATAACTTTAGAAAAAAATTGGGATTCGGATAAAAGGAGGGTGGTAAAGATATTCTGATGTAAGTGGGTGAGTTAGGTTAAGTGGGGAGGCAAGAAGTCTCCTATAAGAAACTCAAGTGGAATCTTTTCCTGTTCACCAAAGGGCTCAGGGGCAGCAAAGCAAAATGGAAGGAAGGGGCCTTGGGAGCGAATATACATACAGGCAAGCTACTTAAGAGTCCTGGGAATCAGGAAGGACTTTGCAAGGCAAGTAATTCTATGGAAAGAAGGTGGTGCGTAGGTGAATGTCGCAGGCTTCTCAAGTAAAAAAAAAAAAAAAAAAAAAACTCTGGGGCGTTGCTGGGGCTTCGGGAGTACGTTAAACTGCAGTGTGACTGGATCAGGCCCCTGGGGTTGGAAAAGAGAATAAAGGGCAAAACTACCAAGGATGCTGGAGATGAGGGGAGGGAGACAGGGCCAGGAGAGAAGGGGCTGGGAAATACAGGAGGACCGGCCTTCGGGCCAAGGGATGTGGGGAGTACCAGGGCGGGGCACACGGACGGTGGGCAGAGGAAGGACCAAGCAAGCACTGACTTTCCCGTAGCACGAAGAGGTCCGTCTGCTTGTCGGAGTTGAGGTCTCCGAAGGCCGCTACCGTGCCCCAGGCCTCTGCTCCAAAGAGCTCGGCCGTGACGTTGTGCAGCGCCCGCGCCGGGGCCGGCCCGACTAATAGCAGCGCGAGCCCCACAAGCAGCGGCACCAGGAGCGCCCAGGTGCTGGGGAGCCGACTCGCCGCCGCCATGGCAGCCACTCGGCCCCGCCCGCTGGCCTAGCTCCGCACTTGACGGTAGCCGTAAAGCGCCGCGCAGCCGGCCGAGTGAGAATCTGCAGACCCCGGGCGCGTACAAGCCGCCGCCGGGTTCTTCCTCTCTCTCCTCTTGTGCCGCTTCTGGGACCCTTTGAAGCCCGTGGAGCAAGACTGAAGCTAGCGCTCGTGCTCACTTCCGGCCGGCACGCCTCTCGACAGTGTCGCGAGGAGGGGTGGGGCCTAGGAGCCGGGCCCGGCGAGTGGTGTTGACAAGTGGCCGGGGGGGCGGTGGCGGCCAAAGCTTCCGCCTGAGCGTAATGGCTGGGACTGCGGGACTCAAGGCTGAAGTGACCTGGAAGGTCCTGGAGCGAAGAGCCCGGACCAAGCGCTCAGGTTTGGCTGATTGGGGCACCGCCCCCTACTTCCGCACTGTGGGTGGTCTTCCCTTTCAAGCGCCCTAGGCTGGAGGCAGATGGAGTCCCGGAAATAAAACTGTGCCTAGTGTTTCCCTTCAGAAAGCAGGC